AAAACTAAGTGGGATCCGAGATCCCCGGGCTCGAAATGACAGTCGGCATGCGAGAAGCGGTCCGAGAGAGGAAGAAAAGAAAAAGAATAAGAATAAGAAAAGAAAGGGAAGAGACTGGAGCCGCGACGCATTGAAATCTGCGTGCAAAGTGCAAACTCTGCGAACGTTCTGGGAAAACGACAAAGGGCAACGCCGGTTCGGTTCGTTTGGCAGTCTCGTTCCTTTTTATTGCCCCTTTTCCCTCGTTAGATTGCACTCTTTCCCCCCCCCCCCCTCGCGGTCTTTCTCCCTCGTTCCCGTGCCTTTTCTATCTTATTATTTCACGTCGCTGCGCTATCGTGCCGCAGTTTGTCTATTTAGTTGCTTATTTAGCCGCTTGTTTATTTGCGTTCCCGCAGCCTGTGGAGCCAATTTACACGAATGCAAGGGAATCTTCCGCGGAAAATTAAATGCTCTACAAAAGTACAATTACATTGCATTACGGGGAGCATAGTGCAAAACTATATATACAACGGGGCTAATTTGAGAAATATAACTGAAGGAGAGAAAACGCCGCGACACGGTGTACACGCAATATTTATGCGTTAAACACAGGTTGGCTAATGGTACATTTGCTGAACGTATTTCTGGAAAATGAAACAATTTATCTCTATATCAATACGGAAATTTAAAAAAATGTCTCCGCGGCGATATAAGAAATTAATTACTTTCTTATGCCGATATTGATATGTAATAATTTTTTCAGAATATATAATTATATTATTTTTTGAAAAAAAAAACGTGCCGTTCGTGCCCGTCGCGAACATTATCAGGGGGTCTATTACGGTTCTCGGATTGGGTGAAAATGACGAAAGTGAGCGGCTCTGTCTCTTACTAAAGGGACAGTTAGAAAGAGACAAAGCTACTCACCTTTGTCATTTTCACCCAATTCGAGAACCGTAATAGGTCCCCAGATGTACTTTATCAGTGTCGCCGAATCATCTCTTTCGTATCGATAATAAAATGCACTCTCTAAAAGTCACTCGGTGCATTATCACTGAAAACAGCTGTAAGCACAGCACTTATAACTGCACTGAGAAAAATTTCCATCGGATAGACCAATTAAATAGTGTTTTCGACGGTTAATTTTTCCGATTACGTTTTCCGATTAAAATGCGGACACATCCGAGGAAATTTATCCGATGAAATTTGATTGAAAAACCGATCACACTTTTCATTGAACATACAATTTAATCGGACATTTTTCTCAGCGTGTAAATCGGTGAGTATTCACTGTTTTCAGTGCTAATCCACCGACTGACTAATATATAATTACTTTTATAAAACAGTATCGTCACGCGACTATTACCAGACACATATCTCTCGTTATTCAAGATTTTCCGAACCGAGCTTCGAGCGAACAGCTCAACGACTTAATGGGCCAATGAGACAAACGCAGTTTGCCGTAGGTTTGTTCTGTAAAGCGAGACAGCAGATTAGATCGTTCTCTCTGATAGCATTAGGTAGCTGCGTCTTGCGCCGATTCTCGGTTTAATCGCAGAAACCATAGGCGCACTGGCAAGGACGGTGAGTTTTTACATTACGGTAGTATTTGTGCACGGAATTGCACATCCACGCGTGTGTGTGTGTCTGTGTGTGGGTGTATATCTATAATCACTATTTTAAATAAATTGATTGACTAATACCACCCATATTAAATCGATTGGACATTCAGTTTGTAAGTTTTTACTGTCCATTGTCACTGACGACTCTATAATTGTTGAACACATAAATTCGTTCCCCACAGACTATTGTAATGGCGTTCAAGTTGTTCCATGTTTTATACTGTAATATATACTTAGACATACTGAAATCAATCTAATATTGTATATTGGATATATTTATTGTAAGGTTTCTTTGGAAGTGCATATTCTATCATTGTTTTGTAGTCATATTGATGTACAGCCACATATCGGTATACTCCACGGATTTGTGCTTGAAGAGGACCGCAATCCGTACGGTCGGTTGTACATTATTTAATATTAATAAAATAACGCCAGTTGCGTCGAGGGAAAATTGAAGTTTTGGTTATTCTATTACTGGCGAGTAGAATTATTAAGTTTATAATCTATATTTGTAAAATAATGGCGATTATTGTTGCTCGTCTGTATTCCTTTTCGTCACGAGGCGTCGGGCTTGGGGCACGAGGAAAGGCGCGAGACTACTGTGTCGTAAGCACCCGATTTTCTTGTTACATGTTCCGTTATACGTATATATATTACGCGATCGCGCAAATATTCGTGATGCAAACTTCAAGTTGATTATCGTCGAGTTGCAATCATATCGCATTCCTCGATCGCCAGAATACAGACACGAGCTACGTAAGATGCTCGAAAATGGCTACACATTACGCACGCAACATTTATCTCCCGAGAAATTGCAAATGTCTCGCAAATTGATTGGGCAACCGCCAGAGCTCGAAGTTCAATGTTATTATTAAGAAATAAATGTAGGACTTCCGAGTCGATTTCTAAGAACCGAAGGACTCGTACGGCCCAGTAAACCTCGCTCAATGAATCGGCGAGCGTTTAGATACATCGTATCCAGGAATAACAAGATCGATAAAGAAAGTCCATTTTCGAGGAGAGGCAACGAAGAGATCACGGTTTATCGCGGTTGTTCACGAATGACGCACTGACAATGAGAAAAATGTCTGATTAAATGTACAGAAAACTATGATGCGAGACATTTTTCTCCGTGCATAATTTAATCGGAAAAGCTAACCATCGGCAACGCCATTTGACCGGTTTGTGCAATGGCAATTTTTCTCGGTGTTCTTATCCGCGGAAAACGACCGTCGCATAAGAATCGCCGTATCATGTAGGTCATTACGACGCGCCTGCGCCGAGATAATATCAAGTGCAATGAGCGGGCTAATAAAATTATCCCGTGTAATTTTGGACGAATCTTCGACTCTCGGACGCAGCGTCACTTGCGTCACTTGCGCAACTTCCTCCTTCGGGCGCATAAACAATCGATATAGCGCCGAGACGAGGCAAGGCGTTTCGAAATCAGGTGTAAAATCGAAAGCCATAATTCAAGCGTTTTGATTAATATTTTATAATTCGACGGCATTATTCGCGGCGAGTCGCGCTTCGCCTCTCGCCTTTCGGTTTTCTTTTCCGCCGGGCTCACGCGGAGACGCTTCAAGTCGTATTGTTTAAGCGCTACTGTCGATCGAGGATGCGATTTGTTTGGCGCACGGCGCCTCGCAAACAAATCCCCCAAGTGCGATCGATCGAACGGTCCAGCGCGTCGAGGTTTCGCCAAAGGCTTTAAATCGCAGCCGCGAAAATTAGTTCGGGCGCCCCGCTGAGACATCCCTTTCGAGATCAATAAAACGGCGGAAGAACCGCGCGGGCGGCTCACGTCTATTTCTACGCTGAGAAAATTTTTCATCGGATAAACCAATTAAACGGTGTTTCCGATGGTCAATTTTGCCGATGGAAATGCAGTTACCGGATGAAATTTGATTGAATAACCGATCACACTTCTCATTGAATATACAATTTAACCGGATATATCCGTTTGTTAGTATGTAATTGGATTATTCCATTATATTTAATTCTAAATATTATCCTACACCGAGAAAAATTTCCATCGGATAAACCAATTAAACAGTGTCTCCAATGGTTAATTTTTCCGATTAAATTATGGATACATTCGATGAAATGCAGTTACCAATGAAATTTGATTGGAAAACCGATCACATTTTTCATTGAATATACAATTTTATCGGATATATCCGTTTGTTAGTATGTAACTGAATTATTCGATTGTATTTAATTCTAAATATTATCCTACACCGAGAAAAATTTCTGTCGGATAAACCAATTAAACGGTGTCTCCGATGGTCAATTTTTCCGATGAAATTTTATCGAAAAACCGATCATACTTTTCGTCGGATATACAATTTAATCGGATATATCAGTTTGTTATTGTGTAATTAAATTCTAATTTAATTCTAAATATAATCCCAAGTGCCTAAGTGAGAGGGAAGTCCAGGTCCAAACCCTGGCCGAGGTGATTTTTCGCAATAAATTTTAAATAAGAATTATTTAGACACTTTTAACGTCCTGTCACGGCTCTTTCCTTGTTCCTTTGAATTTACGTTTATCACGCGCGAGCCTTTGTTAACTTGTCAAAAATAAATACTAAACGTCCTCAACTTTTCATCTCCCTTCAGTTCTAAGAATTATAAAAAGCGAGATAGAACCGAGATTAAAGCCAATCTGTATTTGGTAGAAATTGACATTATTTGTCAACGCGGTCATTTAATTAACGAACACACGTGCGCGCGTGCAGCACGGCGCGCGAAACTTCCGAAACAACTCTTATCGCATTTCCCCCCCCCCTCCCCGCGCCCCTACCGCGTCGCTTCTAATATCGCGAGTGCAATTGCGTGAGCGCTCGCGATATTACTCCCGTATTTATTGGCGTCGTAAAACGAAGTCGCAAATAATCGCGATTCATAAATATTTCATTACACGCGCCGAGCGAGGAACGTTTCAAGCGCGCGAGTCGGAATTTCGTCGCAGAAAGTGTCTCCGGCGAGGAGCAAAACGATTCGTCTCGAAATAATTACTAAAACCCTCCCCCTCGCCCCGCAATTTTACGAAATGCCCCGATTAAACTCCAATTCTTTTTTGTTTTTGAAATCGCACGTGGCGTCGGCGCGATCAAAGGGATAATTTGTGAAAAATATACAATCGCGAGGGGCGGAAATGAGAGGAGACTGGCGAAATCCCGCGCAGAGAGGCGACTAATAATTCGATCGTTTACGCAACACTAATATTTGTTACGTAAAATGATGTTTGCGTTTCGGTTCATATGCGAATTTGACGCGTCAAAGAATTGCGCAAATTTGCGCTCGATCCGTACCGGACCGCGCCGGACGTCATCGTGCCTGTTGTGCATATGATTTGACGCATTTCGCATAAACGCTGCCGCGAATGACTTACTTTTGCACTCCTCCGGGCTCTCGTCGGAATTGTCGGTACAATCGTCCGCTTTGTCGCAGACCCACGAGATCGGTATGCACCTGCCGTTGGCGCATCGGAACTGCCGCAAAGGACAGGCTAGCTTACCTGAGAACCAACAGAAAAGAATGCACTGAGAAAAACTTAACAAGTGGTCAAAAAGGAACGAGCTTAACAAGCAGCGCGTTATACGAAAAAAAAAAGAAACGAAACGAGGGACGGAAATGAAGCGTTTTGCGGGAGATCGATCGCGATCGGTGGGTTCTCGGCCTTTAAAAACCTATACGCTCGACTCGCTCGCCGCACAGATCGCTCCTTCATTCCCCTTGCGAAAAGATCTCATAAATAAACGAATTGAGATAACGCCAAGATTTGTAGCGGGATATAATTAGAGTGACTCGCTTAGAAAAGACGACTGCGGATGCGGCCGCGACACGTCGTTCCAATGCTAGCGCAGCAATAATAAAATCAAGTGTAATCTTCTCGTAACTCATTTGCGTATCAACCGGTCGACAAGGTTACCTCGCGGTCCCCGCCGACGACAATGGGAGTCAGACACCTACTTCTACTACGCTCATTGAGCGAATGAATAAGTCAACGCCGCGCGATTTTACTTTCACGCATACGCAGTTGTTTTCAATTTAACTCGCGTGAACGTATTGTTGAGGACCGTCTACACTGCAAGTAAGCAGTAAGAAGCAAGAAAACCGTAACATTTACTTATCAGTGTAAAAGCTGAAGTGCAGGCATAACTTTTTTAAAAATATTTACAGCACTGGTCGAACTGCGCTCTAAATCGAACTGCGCTCTAAATGCCGAGAGCAAGCGTCGGAGCTGAAGTAGGAGTGAGAAATGGGAATGATTAATTTCTTTACTAATGCTCAGTGGGCATTACTTTATCTTATTTTATCTTTATAATGCCCCAGCAAGGCCTAATGTCCAAACTAATGCCCAAAAAAGCCTAGTAATGCCGCAAATCTGTACACCACAATGCCCTCAGCGGTTTCCCCCTCGATATAATCGGATAATCCGATCACATAATAACAAACGCGTATATCCGATGAAATGTGTGATCGGTTGTTCGATCAAAAATCATCGGATGTGTCCATAATTCAATCGGAAAACGTAGTCGGAAAAATTAACCATCGGAAATACTATTTAATTTATCCGATGAAAATTTTTCTCAGTGTATACTCTCACTTCTCACGCCAGTCTTACTTCAGCTATTGTAGACGATCCTTTGCAGTATTGCACAATCGTTCCGGGAACGCCAGAGATACGAGAGAGCAAAACACGAACAATTCTCGGCCCTTGACTCTCTTATTCATAGTCCGTTTTTATATTTAATATCATCCTCAAGTACACGGAGAAAAATTTCCATTCGGATAAACCAATTGAATAGCGTTTCCGATGGTTAATTTTTCCGATCAATGTGTTCGATGAAATGCAGTCACCGATGAAACTCGATTGAAAAACCGATCATATTTCTCATCGGATATAGGCCACTTGTTATTGCGTAATCGGACATTTTTCTCAGTGTAATAGTCTAAATATCCTAGTTAAGTATTTTTATTGTCACCAGCGATAAAATTCAACCGAAGAGAAAACTACCTTGTAGTCGATCAAACTGGCAATGACTGGGTGGTTTATTTTAAGTACAGCGTTTCGACCTAATTCCAGGGTTCTTATCAAGTAATACAGATTCACCAGACAAACCTATTGCCGAAAACATTAAGAATCGACGAGTTTGTGCCAGCAAATTCATACTTAATTCAAATGTCTCCGAAGTCAAAAAGTAAGGTGTAGAAGTCGTTTCGCCAGTTTGGTCGACTACAAGTTTCTCTTTTTGGTTAATAGTCTAAAGCCAATGGCACACGATGCTATTTTGCTTACCGGATTTCTTGCACGAGCCGATAATGACGCGGAGTTTTCAGGTGACTTCAGGTTAAATCCCACCGAGAAAAATGTCCATTGGATAAACCGATTAAACTGTGTTTCCGATTAATTTGTCCGATTGAATCATTCGATGGAATGTCGCAAAATTGGATTATCCGATTACATCTTTCTCAGTGTAGAGAAAGTAGCATGTGTGCCGCTGGCTCTAATATGCTGTCAACCAGTACAACAGAGGCGTATTAGCATCTCAAGACATTACTCAAGAGATGGTCTTCAAGACCGGCCTTATATTTGTTTTCACGTACCACGCGTCGACCTATTTAATTACACTTCTTATACCGAGATTCCAGCGTTATCCGACAGTTTCACTTTCTTGGCAACGCAATTTCTCCCCGCGGTAGTCATCGCGCGTTGAGAACACAGACGTCTACATGGTGTGAGGATACAAGGTGAAACATTGCGCGCGACCAATTTTTCGGGCAAATTGTTCATTGGTTCTTCCCGCATTCATCTGCAATTGATTTGCAGTTTCAAGGTTGGGGCAAATTTCTGATCGGTCAATTCGCTAGCTTGGGCCACTTCCGACTGGTTGACACTGCGCATCCACCAGGTTGCTTCACCTTGTATCTTTACACCATGGACTTCTACGTACTACTAGACCACTACCTCCGAGCTGAAAAGTGAGGCAAGAGTTCCGCCATGTCTTGCTAGGCAAGCAAAGTAGCGTGAGTGCATCGGCCTGTCAGTGACACACCAATGCACATGTACTACTTTTTGTTTGCCTAACAAGACATGGCGGGACTCTTGCCTCACTTTTCAGCTCGAAGGTACATACACTGAGAAAAAATCCGATTAAATATAATCGGATAATTCAATTACATAATAACAAACGGATATATCCGATTAAATTGTATGTCCGACGAAAAATATGATCGGTTTTCCGATCTTCCATCGGTAACTGCATTTCATAAATATACAGGGTGTACCGCAACTCGTGACCGAAATTTTAATAGCGTATTTCTGAGCAAAAAGTAAGACGAAAATCCTAATACGAAAATGTCGAGGCTATAATACTTTTCAAATGGGAAGCATTTATAATAGACAAATCAGCTAGTCTAAAGTTCGCGCGTTCAGGGACGGTACATTGCACATTGATAAAGGTACTCTTGCATCTTTGCCGATATACCTCAAAAAATTTTAGTAATTATATGTACAATGATGCTGATGTTATTGATTGAGTCATATTTAAACATGAAAAAATAAAAAAATAATAAATTAAAAAAATTAAATATGAGAAGTTGTCCACG